CATTGTCCGGAGGAGGAGCATCCTCGGGAGTAACTATGGAATGCAGGGAGCCATCAATGTGCCGAGATTGTATCACAAGAAGAACAGTGCATACGAAAAAGAAACAGGGACCGAAAATGAAATCCTGTGGGAAATCATGAGGATGCGCTCCGAAAATTGTCCCGAGATAGTGGATGACTCACCCTAAAATACGGACATACGAACTTTGGCTTTCACCTCCGCCGAGGTTGATGTCGAGGGACGTGCAATTTAAATTTGGTATGGATCCGCAAGCCCCTGATGTTTCCGTTACTAATACAGCCCTCACCGAACGATGGGTACGAACCTTGATCCAAGAAGCTACCCCGAAATTCGCTGAGTCCATGGTAACACAGAAAGCACTAAGAGCACTCACCCAATGCCTCTGACCAATGGTCCTGACAGACTCGATCGTCCCGACAATAATTGGCCTTGTATCGGGTGGAGCAAGGAAGGCTAGAGCTTGGGTGTCGACCATAATTCAAATAAAGTCACGCTGCACTCACAGTCCCAAAGCCGCAACTGTAATAATGTATGAGTGGGTCTAAAATCAGCGTACGAAGGCCAAGTTTACTGGTTCACGAATTCGACTGCGTGCACATCGCCTATTTTTCTGTCGCACTGGCGAGGCCGAGTACACTCCGAGCACTGAATCAAGCGGGGTGAAGAATTCTCTTGCAGTTCGGAGAGGGAGCATGAAGAGTCGTCTGTTGCCTCCATGGGGGAACAGTGTAGGTGCAGCAGGATTGGCTGCGCAGCAGTGCTGGGACGCCGTGTCGTCCGTCAGTGTTATAGTTGCGGGCGGACAGAGTGGCCGTCATAGATCATCACTGAGGGTGGTTGTGAAAAATCAGTGACGGGTATTTACCGTGCCCATTGGCCGCTATATGTCGTCTCGACTTCAGACTTCCATTCAATCTAGCATGCAACAAGTCGTTGTCCGAGCTCAGTTGCGGACCATATGTCCATGACCGTGTCGAAATGCCATCATCGGATGGCGTAGCTGTGGGGTCCAGTAATGCCGTGTAGTCGAGCGTGTAGCAACACCGCCTCCTCAGTCTCCACGAATCGGAACAAAGCAAGGTAGAACACGTGACGTGCCGCTTTCGGCAGTACCGCCACACATCCCGGTTACCAGGCGCTTCATGTGGATCTGCACGCCAGGGCTGTGACACGGAGGCAAACGGCCACGACAATCCATGCACCCTGTCTTGTCGCTGTGGTGTCACCTACTTGTCGAATATCCCCAAGGTCTTGTCATGCCATGTCGGGCCCGGGGCGATCCAGAGAAAACTATCGCTTCGCTAGAGATCCTCGGTCTTGCCAGTGGTTTCGCCATCCACCACTTGCTCATGAATTCACGATACCCTCTGGGGTGGACTGGGCTTTGCAAGTGCTCTCTATCGATTTGATCCCTCAAATATGTTCCCAAGCCCCGGGCTCCGGATCTCATGTTTTCAGACAACAGGAAGCATCTGGTGTATCAGCGAATAACGATCTACTCCACACCCACCCTAGTCGGACGGAACAGAAGTCATCAGCTTTCTAGGATTTCTTATCCATGGGACGCCGGGATCGGATTTCAGCCCTGACAGCCGCATTGTCTTCTGCCTGCACACGATTTCAGTGGGAGACCTGAGAACCGAAGATTTCGACCGGCTCCTTCCGACATCCCCGTTATTCACCCGAGTTCAAGGTCACCGGTTCAACGACCGAACAAAGAGCGGATGGATCTCCTCGATTAGAACGGTCTTTGTTCTCTGGTGCGCCATTAATACGAGTCTCTGAAACTTCGGAGCGGCGGGACGCGCGTTTATTTTTCTTGGGTATGATATGTCTTTCCAGGGTGACATTCCGCGGGAAAGTCTATTAACGTCTGTTCCCAGAACGGCAATCCCGCAGACGCACTGCATCTACAGTACCTCAGCGACCTTGTAGGCATAGGGTCTGCTACACGAGAGCACCTGGCATTATCTGGAAACTGGAGTAATCGATGCGTTGTATGAATTCAAGCACAGTGATTTTTTTTTTGACACCGTGCATGACGAAGCGCATTTACAGATGACATCTTGTTCATTATCTGGACTGCCGAGCAATCCACATGGGGCGACTTTCTGAGGCCTCTGAACACAAGAACTTGACTGAGCGAACGAGTTTCGCAAGGATTCCGATTTCTATCCAGGGTGACTACGTTCGGAGAACCATGGTCAATTGCATTCTCCGCACGCTGCGGAGATTCGTTTCCCTTCTCTCTGACGCAACACTGTTCTTGGACTCGCAGAATCCCTGTTCTCCGCAATTCAGTCTGGTTGTCGCTCATCGAAGTTCTGGGCGCGGGTTTCGGAACTTGGACTAAATGCCCCTACTAACGCCGCAAATCGGTGACTACCACACTAGCACCGGTGGTGGTGAAACTGTGCACCGTTTCGGGCTCATCCAACACCGGGTGAGACGCACTCTCACGGCTGAGCAAAAGTTCATTGGTAACCGTTCTGGTGTTCCTCATGTCAGCATGGAGATGGCGGTATGCAGGAGATGAGCTACGCAGCGAGCCCGAGATACCCGAGATACCCGCAGGCGTGCTCGATTGGTTGTATTTCACGGGTAGGCCATGTCATATCATCCTGAATACTGAGTAAGGGAGGTCCACGTTGTTTGAAGCCGCCGTCCTAAATGACCTTAGTTCACTTTTCCGACCCTGTGTAGGAAATCTTAAGGATGAGTACCCCTCGGTCTATAGGGCATCAGTATCGCGTATCGCGACTGCTATTACAATTTCACTGTTCATTCATGTAAGTAAGGACAAAGCAAGTCTATTCATTGGCCGTGGTGTACGGCACACCGGGAGCCTGCTTGCCAGCTCCGGGCGAATTACCTCTCGCCGTCTAGAGTTCGACTCCCCGCGTTCGACTAGGATTATCGTCTTTCTGTCATTTTTTGCTTTCTGGAGTGTCCCTGGGTGGAGAAGTCTGGCGCTCTAACCGCGTAAAATTATGTGGCGGTGCACTTTTTCGGCTCGCGGTAACCGTCGGCCGATAGGATGACCGGGAAGAATCGGGCCGACTGGACTTTTCCTTCTGACCACGACCACACGATTGGCCGACGGCGCGCTACGATGCGACAACGGCGCTCTCGAGATTCCTAGCTTGGGAGATGGATGCGCTAACGCCGAGCTGTCGGCCTGGACGCCGTGGATGCACACAGCAGACGATGACCACCAGAGTGTCGCGGAGACTCTGCATCGAACGTGTCGATTTCAATGCCGCCATAAGGCAGATGAACGAGCAAGAAGGTCACTGTGGTTTTTAGTGCGTCTATTATACTCTATCTTAGTAGACGTGGGCTGAAGTTGACGCCGCCGACCTCCGCCTCAACCCACTGCTGCTGGAAATGAGTGTGTGGGCGCTGCACGACAACAACGACGACGACGAGTACAAGCAGTGCGCATTGAACCTCGACGTGGAGACGACGTACCGCTCCGTCCGGCCCACCCCGCCGTGGACGCCTAGGCTCCGGCACGACGTCGGTGTCGCTGCTCTTAGACAGATGAGTAGCGATGACGATCGCTTCGAGTACGCCGTAGCGCCGGTGAAACCAGCTGTTGCGCGTACGTCTTTTATCGGGAGCACATTAGATACCGTACGTCTTCTTCCTTATCGATCCCTCAACGTTAATCGCACTTGTACAGATGTTATGATACGATAGGATATGCGCGCATGTACAAAGTATATTATCTGGACCTACGGCACTTTTCCTGCTCTTTTCTGTCAAGCGCGACGACCCGATTCTTTTTTCATGGCGGCTTTAGACTTACGATTCAACGGACTCGACCTCGGCCGCGGTTGATTCGGAATTTTTCATATGGCCCGCACGGCGATTCTTCGATGTTGGATGCCAACTCGTCGGTCGTCAGTTCCAGCCCTCGCACATTCAATTACTCACTTGCACGACGACTAAGTAGAGCGACTCATCGGACGTGATGTACGGTGCATCGCGAGTATGTCTACTCGTTTCGTGGCAGGACGGGGTTCGACTCCCCGCGTCCGAATATTACAGTGAGAGTGGCATTTCTCATCCTGCTGCACGGTGCGTGACTTTTTGTCCTGCTGCACGCTTGATGAAGGAGGGATATTCATCGGGCGTGGTGTATCGCACTCCGCGAGGCCGCTTAAAGGTTTTTTGGATAGATATGTCTCGTAGGGTGCTGTTTATAATTCCCCAGCCATTTATAAACAGTTTTTTATTTCTGGTTTATAAACAGGGTGTTTATAAACATGTTTACAAACACTCACTTAAAAGTGCTGGAATTACGGTGTTGCGGTAATTTTTCGCCCCGTAACTTTCCCAAGGTAAGGAAGGAAAATGAATACAGCCTCAAATCCACAGGAGTATCAACAAATTGGCAATTTTGAATCAGATAATACCGCAATGCAAGTCCCCAGAAGGTAAGAAGGTCAATTTCGGATGATTTAGCCTTTGAAGGTCACATTTGTTCCAACGACAACCAGCAGATGCTGAAAAGATTATAATTTCTGCTGACTTCAGGCTGCCACCTTGAATTAAAAACCAGTAGGATAAACCAGTTCATAAACACCTGTTTAAAACAATGTTTGCAAACCGGAATAAAAAACAGCACCCTAATCTCTCGCAAGACTCCCCACGTCCGAATAATTCACCGTTACGGTTTCTTTCATCCCCCCCCCACCGCCCCCCCGTGAATGGCATGGATGAAATGCTAACTTGCTCGCAAGGCGTCAAAGGGTATATTTATCGGCCCACCTCGAGCCTGCAGAGTCATTCTCGGACTAAGTTCGACTTCAATCTAAAGTTCCACAGTGTGTCTTTTCTCATTCCGCCGTCAATTAGATGCCAATTTAAGTGTGCAGGAGAGATGGTACACGTTGCGCCATGCGCCTTTTTTACTCGGCTGTCACGAAATCAAATCCAATTCGATTTAACCAGCGTATCAACAGGGATATTCATCGGGCGTGGTGTACGGCACACGGCGAGTATGGTTGTGGCGGAGATAATTGAGAACCTTGCAACTCGCGGTCCGGGGTTCGACTCCCCGCGTCCGAATTCCCATTCAAAAGAAAAAACTTTTTTTTTCCCCGCCGGCCAAGAATTCGCATCCAATTCGACCGTGAAGGAAACGGGCATTTTCATCGGGTTAGTGTACGACACACGGCGAGGCTGCTTACTCTGGCTTGCTATAGATAGGGCGGGGTTCGACTCCCATGTCCGAATCCGGGTGCGTTGTGATATTTTCCTCGCGCCTCATTTTAATCACGGCCATGGCACACCTTCCACCCGCAATTCCCATGCTATACCGGGCGCCCTCACAATGTAGACCTGATCATGCCCAGGCGGTGAAGGTACGTGGCTGGGCTCTTATGGCGAGACGTTAAAATAGGCCGAGGCAGTGGGTATATCAGGACTGATAGGAATCTCGATGCTCAGACGATGGTCGCAGTCGCGGGTCAGCCAATCATGAAGCAGGAGGGTATCGCCGCCAGCTCCGAGTATGACAGATTGATTGATTTGAACTGTGGAGCTTCGACCCTCTCTTCCGCCCTCCGTCATGCTGCCCTTGACTCGGCCACAGACGCACGGGAGCGTCCATAGCTGGTGGTCGGACAGCAACCCGGGCCTGCAGGGCCCAACAATGAACCTGCACGCGGCGGCGAAACCACTTATGAAGCTCATGTATGATCGGCAGGCTTTGGGCTTCATTCAGAAGAATCGAGGCATCCCACTCTCAAACAAAACCATGGAGACTTTTTCAAGCTACCTTCTGTATGGGGAACCCGTCTAAGCTCATTGCCCCGGTGCTGAATGATCCCATAGGTGGAAATATGTATCGCCTTCCACGAAGGCGTCTATTCTATCGGAATTGAAGACAAGAGCAAGCTCTGAAGCTGATGTGCACACAATATTGAAAGATTCTGTCGTGTTGCATCAGATAACGGAATTAGCTGGATCGACAAACACCGCGTCGGAGGTACGAGTCGCGGCGTGCGGGTTGCTGGGAAACTTGGGACCCCCCGCCGTGCCGCTTCCCTCGAATTTCAATCCATCTGCCCAACTTGTGCTCGTCTTGAGGTGTTTGAGTTCTTGCGTTTACCCGACAATTCTTATCGAAACTTAGGGATAAGGATCCGGAAGTTATCGAGGCGGCGGTACACGCATTGTCCATGCTTTCCTCCGCGATCGAAGGCGCAACAGCGACAATCGATGCAGGGGTCCTGGAATACGTGCCCGAGTTACTTCAATCACCGAGCAAAGAGGTGCGGAGATGGTCCTGTCGACTAGCGGGAAACCTAGTTTCTCCGGAGTCCACCACACCGCCCCTCGGCTGGGAAATCCCCCACGAATTGGTGAGTCCGGGCATTGAGTTCGGGTTCTCTGCTGCTCCAGTGCCTGCTCGGAGTTATGTTAACAGAAGCCGCAAAAGATCTCGCAGAGAGGTCCGGGTGTTGCTACTTGGCCAGTGAGTTCTTATCCGCGTATACCCGACTCGCCCTCATTTCCCCTAGATCGGAGTCGGGCAAGAGCACATGCATGAAACGTGAGTATTCCTCTCTCTTTCGTAGGCGGCGGCCGGAAACCAGCCGCATATTGCTTCCGTTTCTGAGCATTTCAATGGAAGGTGCGATTGCAGAGTTGGCGTTATTCCCGCCAAAGGAGGCAAAGAGCGTCGCGTAACGGGAAATTCCTTCGTTTTTATTCTAACATAGATTTACAGAGTTTCAAATTTTGTATGCTCAGGTAGCCTTTCATGCGGAGCGTATTGCATGGCGCACAGTAGTATATCTTAATCTCGTGCAATCCGTCAGAAGGTTGGTGAACTCTCGCCACTAAATGTTCCTCGCTCAGCTTTCCGTAGAATTCTGGACGCGCTCCAGCCCGAGACCGACATTGTTGACGAGAATGGCGGTGGTGATTCACTGGAGACTGCATCAGCGATATCCGGGAAAACGGTAGCAAATTACGAGGGTTATCGCCGGCGATTACAGCCTTTAATGCAACTGGAGGACCACCTAATTCGTCTGCTTCGCTCTCCAGAAGAAGACGAACCCATCCACTTTTGCCCATGGAAAGGTCAAGATCCGAACGGACCGCCTACGCCCACGATATTGATACCGCCATCCACGCCCTCACTTTCACATGGCACTGCTTCTTCTAAGTCTTCGCCGATGAGCGTTCATGGCCACAAGTCGAACGAAGTTACTGTACATGCTGCAACAAACTGGAAGGAGGCCTTTTGGCTGGGCAAGAGGTCCAAGCGCCGCAACGGCGCCCACTCCGGTGAGATTGAAGGGTGGTGGGAGGACCCGGACGATCCTGTGCATACGATGTATGACTGTGCAACGTGTATGCGGGAAATGTGGGCAGACGAGAATGTTCGACAACGCCTTCGAAGAAAGGGAATACGGCTGGAGGAAAGCAGCGGGTTGTGCGTCTTCTTACTATGCTTCAGCTTCTATCTCTTCTGAACTTCCTACTTTCTAGCTATCTGGACGAAATTCCTCGGATCACTGCCAAAGGATATGTCCCTTCTGACGGTCGGTCTCTTTACGAGAGTTAACTTTTTGGCTTGCCAAAGTGGCTTGCGCCCGCGCAGAATGGCTTGTTTCAGGCGTGGGCGTGGATTTGGCTGTAATCACAAGCCCACGCCCGGCATTTCGGCTTGCAAGCCATTTTGTCGGCTTGGCCCGCCACTTTGCTCAAAGTGGCTTGCGCTCACCGTACGTCACCTAAGGCTTTAATGTTAGATTTTATGTTGCAACTACATCGCTATATGTGCCCTGCAGGTGCCTAGGGCACGTATTCTCTCAAAATGTTAATATACTTGTCATTGCCGTGAACAGTGACGACGAAAAGCCATACCCACATGCAAGCCAGCTGGCTTGTGAGACTTTAACAATAGGCTGCGCTTCCTACTATCCACCCGCATTGAAAATATAAGAGGAAGTGTCCATGACACAAAGATATTCACAGCTCAACTTCGCTGATTTTTGAACTTTGCAAGTCTTTCCACACCTGCAACTGAAATCTGGCCAGAATCCTTCACAAAGAGGGTTGAGATAGTCCTGTGATCTCCGGACAGCCAATCCGGGCTGTAGCCCTCGTCCAGTCACATCAGTTGAACCAAGTCCCCGAGTCTGTGTTGACTTCAATGCACCTGAACACTCAATATTTTGACCCCATACCCGCCGAATGTCCACAGTTGAATGATCTATGATATTTTCAGTGCCGAGATGTCCCAGGAAATGTGTATTTCCCAATCGCGAGCAAGTGGCGTGCGCAAGCCATTCTGCCTGATGCCATCAAAATGGGCGTGGGTGCGGCTTGCGACGAAAACTCGAGGGATTCAGGCCATTATACCATCAACGGGATAGTAGGTACCTCCAATTTACTTGATCATACTATGCAGCAGGGTGTTGTTGGTGAACTAGACTTGCATCCAGGAATTCGAACATGTCCAATGCCATCACAAGCCATTTTGCCTGATGCCATCAAAGAGTTAGCTTTTTGGCTTGCGCCCGCGTAGATTGGCTTATTTCGGGCGTGGGCGTGGATTTGGCTGTAATCACAAGTCTGTCGACGTTTCTGAGGCAAGCAGGGTGCGTGAACAGAGAAATAAACTAAGCCATATGTTGCATTGACTTTTGAACCATGTCAAATTGACGAAGTTGTGGCTCATAATGACATTACAACTCACTTCCACTGTTGAAATCCAAGAGAGAGAAAATACATGTGTCTAAACGGACGTTAGTTTAGGAGAAGACTTGATACTACCGTACTGTCGGCATAATTGTTTCTACTAGCTAAACGTTGAACAAAGTCAGACATATCGAGATTCAACTAAATCAAGGGGTAACTCCTTTCAAGGATGAATTTCTAGTAAAAATATACTCTTTTATTTCAGTGGGTTAGCATTGGTGCGTTGGTTCACGCACAGATACGAGCAGGAGTCAAACATAGAATTTGGTTTTTCTGGCAGCGATCACAATAAAAACCCGTGAAAACATGTCTGATACGGCTTCGGAGCAATAGTTGACAAGACTTACTGGCAACAACACATTGAATTAATCAATTATTCACGACTCAGGTCAGGGCATGAGTCGGGCGTGGGCTTGAGCAAAGTGGCCATTCGGCCGAGCAGAATGGCTTGTGTTGGCTTGCGGCCTGTAGACATTGAAAATTATGTTATGAGTGCACTGTCGGAGCAGAATATTTGGCGTGTAGCTCATACTGTATAAAATAAAGAGAGAGGTATGGGGAAGACACGGTAGCAGCCGTCTAGAAATCAACCACGAAATTGCGGGCTTGGCGTGGGCGTGGCTTGCGCAAACTGGCTTGGGCTTGCAAAACTAGCTTGAGGGTGTGCAGAGTGACTTGTGCATGAGTAGGATTGGGCGTGACCAGGCTTGTTTGCGTGGACAAAGTGGTTTGAATCGAACCAAGCTTGCCGTTGAACTTGCCGCGGCCACCATACAATTATTTCGAGAATCTTCTTGTCATTGTTACGATTGCCGACTAATGTCGAGTACATGCAGGATTCTATTGCATTAACGAGGATGGCAGGAATACGGCTTCAATGCAGCCGTCGTGGCCAGCGGCGAAACATGCTTATCTTGGAATGCCGAGTTGGCAGACCCCGAGCTGGGAAGGTCTGCGGGATGGCTGCAGCAACCCGAGGCTCCGGCGATGCCCCAGAGCGATGTTATGGACGAAATACTTACAGTGGGAATGATTGCTGTAAGTGAGCACAAGTCACGCCACGCCACAAGCCACGCCGCTCACGCCCGGCTCAGCCAATTCAAACTCCGCTAAGGGGCGCAAGCCAATTAGCCAAGCCACTCGGATAAGTCTGGTCTCTTTACGCTTCCGTTACCCACGGTCTCACAGCCGATATGCTGCAGCGGATGTACTGAAGGCCCGCCTGAAAACTATGGGCGTTGTCGAGCACACGTTTTTCCTTCAGTGGTTTACAATGAATCATGACGTACAGTGGAAGTTCTACGACGTTGGCGGCGGGACAAATCAGCGCGCAACATGGATACCCTATTTCG